CATAAATCTCAATAAGGACAATTTTCAGCAAAATTTCTCTAACTCTTCAATGTTAACTTCTAACTATAAGAAAAAGGTAAATAATAATTTTTTATGGGTAAAAGTAAATAATCTTAATAAAATTTTAATATAAAAGTTACCAATTTTTCTTATAATGCCTTTTAATTTTCACAATAGTACTCTCCCCCAAAAGTTTTCTTATAAAATTGCATTCCCATCAACCAAGTCATTGAAAAGAAGTTTACACTTACCATACATTTTTATCTCAAGTCAATTTTTTTAACATTTTTATTTAAAAATTGGTTGAAAAAAGTTGAAATAAATTGAAAAGAAAACTGATAAATTTTGTACCTGATGAAGTTTTGTTAAAATTATTTATTTTTTTTAATATGTATCATTTATTAAGTTTTTTCAATTATTTTTTTAATAATAATAACTAATTATAAAATTGACAACAATAAAATCCTAAAAAATACCTAAAATCAATGCCTTAAAGCCCAAACGATTCATACACCTTAAAATTTATTTATGAATATATTAAAATTTTATCTGAAATTTATATTTAAAAAGTTTAAAAATCAAAATTACTAAAAATAAATTAAATATTTCTTACTGAGAAATTAAAATAGATTTGGGCTGCCTCCTTTATCAATTTATTTTTAATTGCAGTAAAATGACAATTACTGGCTTTGAGCTATATATAACAAGTAATTAATACTTAAAAACATTACATCAAGATGTACCAATCAGTTAAAATTATTAACTTTATCATGTCTCACATATTTATTTGTTTATTTTTAAAAATGGAAACAACCTTAATAAAATAGAAGCTTAGAATTACCAATCAAAAAGAACAAAAAAAAAAAAAGAAGTTAGAATTTTATTTTTTATTTGGAATTGCAAAACAGAAAGATAATTTTGTATATCCTTCAACTCAACCAACTCTTATATCATGCTATTTAAATTATTTTTTAATTACTTAAAAAGATTGTTAAAATTTATCATTAGTATTTGAAGAACAATAATTTTAATTTTTAATGACTTGTTAATTTAAGTTAAAAGAGATTAATTTTTTTAAAAAAAATTCTTAAGTTTAAATATTGTACATAGAAAAACAAGTATTATAAGAGTTTTTTTTTTTTTTTTTTATTTATGGATTTGACTAATTCGATTTTAAAATAATTAGATTCCATATAATTTGGAATATGGGTAAGTTAAAAAAAAAAAAAAACACAATTTCAACCAATAACTCGCAGTATCCATGGGTAGACACTGTGCCATGTATTTCCACCTGCTGTGGAAGGAGACAGACAACCAAACAGTACCTTAATACAGCCTTCTTACAGCTATACATTTATATATACAAATACGATAAAGGAGAGAGGAGAGAGAAAGACGGACAACGACGACCGGAGGCAGACGAAGGGAGCGGAAGGTGAAAGCTGGGCTTTCCCCTCACACTTTATGATATATCTATTTGTCACAGTAATACAGTAACATCACATTCCTTAAATAAGTATATTTTTTCCTTCCTTAGTTTGGTAGGCTTTTTCAGGTAGAGACAAACCCACCAGTTGTTGCAGTTGTTTCAAGAGAGAGAGAGACGGAGACTGCCATGGAAATGGGATCTCACTCCTACTCGTTCTGCTGCTACTGTCATTGATTCAACTCCATACCCGAATTATTCAGGTGTGTTTTCACTGTCTATTGATTCACTTTGATCCCCATTTTCCCACACTCTTCACGCTTTTTGGGGTTTCAACTATGCTGCCCCTGCTGAATCTCTTTGACTTGGTCATTTTTGTTTAGATCTTTTACTCCTCCGTGATTTATGCTTGAATTGCTGATCTGGGTATTTGTTGTTTTCTTGATTTGGGATGTTTGTGAATGTGTTCACTGTTCAGTCCCCCATTTTTTAAGTTAACCGTGAAGCACATGAAGTATGTAATAGAATATAGTAATTCTCTTTAGTATTTGGGTTTCTTCTGCCCATGACTATCCCTTTTATTGCCGTGATTCTGGATTTGTAGATGTCCTCTGTAATTCTGTCAAATTTGTGGATCTTGTTCAAAATGGTGATGTGCCTGTTTTTTAATTGTTTGATTTGAGCTATGAGAGTTTCTATTAGCTGGATTATGTGCCTCTTTACTGTTGAAAGTTTCTAAATGTTACAAGACTACTTATAAGTTATAACACCAATGCTTTTTTTTTTTTTTTTGGGGGAGTATGGTTGATTCCCCATTTCTTTATTGAGAAGAACGCTAACACTGAATTTAGATTATTCATATTCTGGGGCCTGCTGGAAGAGATAACTTTAAAAAAGAAAAGATAGCATGTTCAGAGAACTATGAATGGTGCAAGGACTACGTTTTCCATTTATTTGGAAATCAAGCAGACCTATGGATCCCTTAAATCCCTATCTTTTCTTTATTTTCCGAATTCTAAATTTTATCCACAGGATGGTATGGACAATGAATTGGTTTGTGTGTGTTTACTTCTTTGCTTCTTCCTAAATGTAGGTGGGCATCAGTAACATGATTTCACTTGAATCCTGCATGTGCAGTCTTTGAGAATCTTGTGGTTTTTGCCTTCTGGGGTCTTTACAAAAGTGGTTAACTGCTAATGAGATTGTTTTGGCATCTGGGTTCCCTTTGAATTTCACTTTGAAGAAATGTTAGAAAGAGAACAATATTAAGGGGTTTTTTTAAAAAAAAAAAAAAAATTATTTTGGTGACTTCTTAGACGAAGTATTCTGGTTAAAATGAACTTTTAAATACTTCAATTTTCTAAAGTCACTGCTTGATGATTTAAGCTTGTCTTTCAGATATTCTCAGTTTTTATTAAGAAAAATAGTGTGCTTGAAGATCTTTGATTAGAATATAAATGTTTGGAAACTCTTAAGGGATTTCTTAATGAATCAAAAGCATCTTTCATATTCTGAGTTCTCTTCTTTTGGAACCCAATGATTATTGCTTCAGATCTTCACTCTAAGAAAGTACAGAATGTCTCTCACTTGTACATTCTTGTTGGTATATCCATATATGTTTCACAATGTCCAAACCTTATATTTTTTAGTGACCTTTTTACGATGCAGATGAAAGGTTCTTTTCCCCTACTATTTACTCATAAATAGAACTTGTCACCTACTTTGGTAGTTGCCTTGTAGTTAAAGCAACTCAAAGAACAAATTTTAACGGTCACCAGTCTGTTCGATTTTTGACTGGCACTTACTGTACACTAATTCTAGAAACTCACTATTTCTTTTCCATTGCGTTTTGTACTTTTTTCCTTTAGATTTTTTTTTTTTGTCTAATTCATTCTGTTAACAATATTCTGGAGAAATGAATAATTTAAATATCAATGTTTTCTTTTTATTTTATTTTTCTCAAGTGCTAGCTAGAGATGGGTTTTAATCCAATGGAGCTGAATCTTTTTCTCAATCTACCAATAGAATTAGAACATCAAAACATTAAAAACAGAATTTTAAATGTTAAAGCATAATATATTGTGTGTTCAACATCCACAGTTTGTTACCATCAGAATAGGGGGCATAGGCCTCTCTTTAGGATTCTGAAAGTATGGAAATTGTGAGGCTTTAGCTGGTTATAGAATCCTGGTGTTTTTCAAGCTATTTTTTTTTCCTGAAATTTATGATCCTCTGCATGGCATGCTTTGCGCTTTAGTCTGTTCAAGCTCCACATATGTTCTTTTCTCTTTATATCTATTTTTCTCTTCTATTTTGTCATCCTGTTTTGGGTTTCTGGGGGCAGGGAAGAGGGAGGAATGGCCTTTTACTCTTTTTTGCTCCTGATCCTCTTATTTTGTGTACAGTTTGTGTCTCTATTAGACTTTTAATGTTAAAGAAGGAAAGGAGATATGAAGAGGAAGATGGAAAAGTGTAGGTCCTGCAAAGTCAGGTGTCTGCTATTATGATTATCGAGTTTGTTAGAATTTAGAAATTATCATCTTTATAAGTGTTATGTGGCTTTGTCAAGTTGAGGACTCAAGTTGAAAGTTTGTAGGACATCATTTTTATCCTTCCTCTTTCTAATAAAGGATTCTTCTTAATTAGGAAATGAAATAATAGGATGACAGAACATATCTTCTTTACAGGGATGGAGGCTGGTGAGGCTGGGGTATTGATGAATGTTATGTTTTTATGACTCCTTGGGTGAATTTTATTGTTCTTTATCCTGTTGCATCCATGCCTCTTTGTCTTTCAGAGGATGTACTAGAATTTTAGAAATGACCCCATTTAATACTTATTCATCTTCTTTATATTACTTGTAATGTGCACTTAGTACTTTTGCTTTAACCTTTGATATAAGTTGCCTTTTTCCATTTCAAATGTGTGTTTTGAAGTCAGCTTTTATTTATTTATTTATAAATTGGTACTCTTGTAACTCTTCTATTCTATCCTTTTTTTTTTTTTATGCAAAAAGGGCTTTCTAGTTTACTCTCATGTCATTTGAACCACAGATATTGTTTGGGTTAGTGATATCATGTCTGTATAGCTGCATTCAAACTCACTTTTCTTCTAATCAAAATTCTGAGAAACCTACTTTTGGGATTCTTTGACTATTGCATGAAGCAGGAAGAAAGTATCCTGGTAGTCAAAGGTGAACAAATAAGAGATATGAGGCTAGAAATGACTGTGCTCAGATATGAGGCAGAATGGGATTGCAAAAATGAGGAGTGCAGGGAGAGGGGAGGGGAGGGGAGGGGAGGGGAGAGAGGAGGGAGTTGCTGTCTTTGTATGCCCTTCTTGAGCACAATTGTTGTAAATATGATTCTTTTGTTTCTATCCTTGATAATTTGATTATGCTATGGGTAAACTATTTTCGTTCAATCTAACCAAGCATAGAATTGCAATCTCAGGACTTGGAGAATCCTTTGGCATTCTGTTTGTACGCTTATCTTTGATTTTGGGATTTCATAGAGAAGTTTGATGGGTTCTAGATATCCATCTCATCAGCTCAGCAATGGCCTATATGTATCAGGCCGGCCTGAGCAGCCAAAAGAAAGGACTCCTACAATGAGTTCGGCAGCCATGCCATATACTGGTGGTGATATCAAGAAGTCAGGAGAACTCGGTAAAATGTTTGATATTCCCACAGATGGATCTAAGTCTAGGAAATCGGGGCCTTTGACTGGTTCTCTGTCAAGGACAGGATCATTTGGAGGTGTTGCTTCACAGTCAGGTTCTAATGTGGCATCTCGGACTGTGTATAGCACATCAGGTCCTCAATCCTCTTCAGGAATGCCCGGTTCAACTTCAATGAAGAAGACAAATTCAGGACCACTAAATAAACATGGGGAACCCATTAAGAAGTCATCTGGCCCACAATCTGGTGGGGCAACGAGGCAAAACTCTGGCCCCATTCCCCCAGTTCTCCCAACAACTGGTCTAATTACATCAGGGCCCATTTCCTCAGGCCCCCTAAACTCATCTGGGGCCCCTCGAAAGACTTCTGGTCCTTTAGAATCTGCAGGATCACATAAGACTTATGGTTCCTCTATTGTTCACAACCCGGCAGTGACTACTCTCACGCAAGATGATGACTTTTCTTTTAGAAGGAGCTTCCCAAAGCCGGTGATGTGGTTGGTGATTCTGATATTTGTGATGGGGTTCCTTGCTGGTGGTTTCATACTTGGAGCAGTTCACAATCCCATTCTGCTCATTGTTGTTGTTGTCCTTTTTGGTGCAATTGCTGCATTATTCATTTGGAACACTTGTTGGGGGAGAAGAGGTATCCTAGATTTCATTGCACGTTATTCAGATGCTGACCTCAGAACTGCAAAAAATGGGCAGTATGTGAAGGTCTCTGGGGTAAGTAAATCCACGCCTACTCAAGATACATATGTTTACTGCTTCAAAACATCTTGTGGGGACAAAAGAATTCTTGAATATGGAAGTACATGATAATACTAACCTAAAAGCATTTACTTCTTGAACTCATGAATCCTGGTGCTTGAACGTGGTGGTGTACCGTATCACAAACCCAATTTGATGACCCAAGAAGGGAAGTGTGTGAAAACATCTAATTCTAACCAAAAAGCATGTGTGTCTCAAACTCCTAAATCCTAAATATGACATGCATGCACACACACATACATACCAAACACACATATTATGTTATCTGCGAAGAGTTTCTAAAACAATGGAGTTTTCCCTTTTTAAAAAAAGGATTAAGCACACAAATTTTGACTGCTAATTTACAACTTTCTTTTAAGTTATATCTATAACTTTGTTCAATTTTTTTCATTTCTATTTTTTGGTGAACTATTCATTTCTAATTTGTTTAATGAACCTGTTGAGATGATAGTTTCTGTGTTGTGTTTACATGGATTTTTAGGGGATATTATATTGAGGACAGATTTTCAAATCCCTTTTTTGACTTTCAGTTTTGTATTGTTTGGTTTTGATAAAAGAGCTTGTCATTTTAAAAACATCTGAAAGGTGGTTTATTCGAAATACCTCCATAAAATTCTCCTCCTCCCTTTCTCTTTAATGCACATTATGTGGTGTTATTTTTGTATCATTGAGATTATTTTATATCTATGGCTTTGAAATGAACTCTGGTTAATGCATCAGATTTTGAAGTACTTACCGTCAGCTTTTGCTTCAGTATGATTAGTCAGTAGAGTTTTAATGATTTGAATAATTGCATTTCTTGAAGGTGGTTACCTGTGGTAATGTGCCTCTTGAGACATCATTCAAGAAGGTTCCTAGATGTGTCTATACGTCTACATGTTTATATGAGTATCGGGCTTGGGGTTCAAAACCTGCCAATCCTTCACATCGTTATTGTACATGGGGACTCAGATCGTCAGAGGTGAGTGGCTGAATGAAGGCTGCATGCTTTAGATTGACAGTTCATGACTATTTGAATCTTTTTTTTGTTAATACGTTAGCTTCTTGGAGAAATTTTGCGTTATTCATTTCTACTTTTGAATGTTAAAAATGAAAAGAAAAAGGAGAGTTCAATGCAGACTAAACTCAGTATTTGGTGCTATTTGACGTTCCTAACATCTATCCAGAATCTACTTTCTTTTTCATTCTGGTTCTATAACATATTCCTTTCTAATCTCAAACATCAAGGATTAATGCAGGGAGGTGTCACATGACATGCTAGTGCAAAGAGACACCCCCTAATTTTTTTGGGGAGTAGTGTGGAGATTTGAAAGTGAGTTTGAGGATTGAGGGTGTAACTTGAAGTTTGTTTCTATTGTTTGACAGAGGCATGTGGTCGACTTCTATATTTCTGATTTCCAGTCAGGATTGAGGGCCTTGGTTAAGACTGGCAATGGTGCAAGAGTAGTGCCCTTTGTTGATGATTCTGTCACCATTGACATCAATCCAGGCAACAAAGACTTGTCCCCAGATTTCATCAGGTGGCTGGCGCACATGAATCTCTCAAGTGATGATCGTCTGATGCGGTTGAAAGAAGGGTAAGAAAGTATTTCCCGTCCAAAGCCTTGAAATCAGCTGTTGATTTTTCCAGATATCATATTCCGGTACTTCAAAGATGAAACTTGAAATTGCAATTGTTATTTTATAGGTACATCAAAGAAGGTAGTACTGTTAGTGTGATGGGAGTTGTTCAAAGAAATGACAACGTACTTATGATCGTCCCCCCGCCTGAGCCATTAGCAACTGGATGGCAATGGACAAAATGTATCTTTCCAGCTAGCCTTGAGGGAATTGTTTTGAGATGTGAAGATACATCAAGCAATGATGTTATTCCTGTGTAGCAAATGGTAAGTGCTTCGAGACGTTGATCACGAATTTCTTTAATGAAAGAAACATAATGCACTGCCTTTGCTAATGTAAACTTTCGTGGTGGTGTGGCTGTTTTAGTCAAAAGTGTATGGTCATTGATGTATAGCTCTTGGAGGATTTCTTTTTGTAGGGCTTCTAATCCCTGGTTACGTATTTGTTTATGGCAACTGACTGCCAAAGGGAGAAAATGGTTTTTGAGTTTGTTGTTTCCTATTTAAATGTTAAATTGATGGATCTCTTTTTATAAAAGAAATCTTTCTGTTTCTTTCTTCTGGTAGGGTTGAATGTGAATTATTCATCCTAAAGTTCCAATCTAAGATATCTTAGACACGTAACTTCCAAAATTCAAACTCGAGACTTAAACTTGAAGTTGAGTTTGAAGCTGTTGGATCTGACTTGACTGATTGATTATTTTACCAAGAATATAATGATGATATTCGTTGAGAACAAGATCCAGTTGTTTGTAGGTGTTAGTCTGGTGATCTTGAGACAAGTCGGTTCCAAATATCGGTTGCATTGCATTTTATCATAACAATACCATTGTCAACTTTATGTTAACATAAATATCTTCACTCTTCTCATCTCTGTGGTGGCCCGTTTCCATGTGATCCATCACTTTCCTTTGTTGCCAAATCTCTCTTGCAATGTATTATTTAATTTCGTTGGTATCCCTAATTGATGAGCTCCATAAACTCTTATGTCAATCAATAAAAAATGTAAATTGAGCTTTTTTGGGATTGATGATAACATTCGTTAATAATAAATCTTTCTAATAATTATATATATATATATATATATTA